AAAATGGATCAGTTGTTTCTACTTGTGCCAGGTGAAAGTGAGTTTTAAAGAGCAAGCTTGATTATCATTCGGTGTTTTTATGATAAGTAACGTTTCCCTCCTAGAATGTTTCACTGTAGGACTCAGCCGTTTGTTACAGGGTTCCACACTAGATGTTATTTAGGCAACAAGCATGTTGACGTTGTGAAGGAACAGCTGAAAGGTATGTGCAAGAATGCTAAAACAGTATTTGCAAGTTCTGTGTATGAAAAGATCAAGAAGATGGCTAAGAAGGCAAACATCAAGGTAAGCATCCATCGAACTTCTGGTAGGCAGACATTAAGAAACAACATCAATGCCAGGACACCAGTCGCCTACTTTCGATTGGCAATAGTTCTTCCCTTCCTTGACAACTTGTTGGAGCAAATAAATACCCGCTTTAATGGACTATCAGAAGTGGCATTGCTTGGACTGCTACTGATACCTGCCAACTTACAGCAGCTTAAGGAGTCTTCTCAAGAAAAACTTATTCAGTATTATTCCCCTGATCTGCTGTCCCCAAGCAGTACATCACAGGATCTGGTGCTGTGGAAGTGCCTCTGGTATGTTATTCTGCGTTAATACTATACATGGGTTACCAAGTTTATAGTGAAACTGTGATAAGCTGAAAAAAACGATTATACCTTGTCTTGAAGTATGTGTTAATTCTTGCTTTTATTTTTAGGAACAACGCCACCGTAAAATCCACGACACTGCAAGAGACGTTGAAAGCCTGCAGCTCAAGCCTCTACCTCAATGTCTACACAATTCTGCACCTCCTGTTAATCACCCCAGTCACAAGTGCAACTGTTGAACGTAGCAACTCTTCACTGCGCTTTGTGAAGAATGTTTATCGCAGCACCATGGAGAAGAGCGTATAAATGCACTGTTGCTGCTCTTTATTCACAAAGACATACCTTAAAATTATAATGCAGTTGTTGAAGAGTACGCCAAACGAAACCAGAGAAGGATGACATTTATCAATCCACTGCAGTGATATATTTTGATTAATACTGGATGTATAAATGCAATGCAATGACTCTGTTAACAGTTCGCCTACCACTAACACTATGATTTTGCTTTGAAGATCGTTTTATGAAATGCTCTTTAATTCTATCTTCTGAAACGTCAACGTTACTTTACTTTGCATCACGAATACGCCCACAATCATTTATGCTGCATCTCCTGAAAAGTGAAGTTTTCATTCGGGGGGAAGGGTGGGAGACTCGGCCCCCTCTTTCTGAATTTTCTGGATCCACCCCGAAATTTATTGCAGAATACTGTTTACTTACTTACGTTATCCTCCAATAATAATTAGCTCTTAGTCCCTATGAGACGTAACACAACAGCAGTCTCTCTTCATTTAGCCCTGTTTTGTGCAGCATTCGATTCTACCTTTCAATTTACTGGAATCTGTGGTATCTGCCATGCTTGGCCTTTCAGGGCTTGACTTTCAGGAAAAAACTTTGGGGCCAGCTGGCCCCTAAGTTTTCACATTTTGTTGCCAGTACAAGCATTTTAGTTGCCAAAAATTATTGGCTCTGCAGGCCTTATGCATATTTCCACAGAATAGGCGTTACAACAGCACAAATCACACGTTTTGCCTGGGTAACCAGTTACCATTTTTTTTCAATAATAACAGGGAAAATAGTTAAAAGCTTCCATGTTGCAAGCTTTGATTCATTACTTGTCATAAACTTGTGCTAAAGAAAGTTACAATTACAGACTTATTGAAACACAAATTCAATTGAAAACAAAACGAAAATTATGTAAAATTGCCGACCTACATTTGTCCAAGCGTGTCCTTGTTAACATTGGCATTCAAAAGTAGAAATAAAAGCTTAAAAATCCATAGTAAACATTGGATGGCTTCTCACATTGTCCTTTGTCAAAAACTGAAACTCTATAGCTTAACACAAGGTCTTGCATAATCAGGGTTAGTATTTCAACGTTCTCTTGTCAATCATTCAAACGCTTCTCAGTCGCCGGAACATGCACCAATCATGTGAAATCAGCTGTTACTAAGAGCCCATGCAATGCTGACAAAATTTCTTTGACTCTATCAAAAATCTTGACCAAAATTTTATCCATCAAATTTTCAAGTTGGTCATAGTGGTCCCCTTTGGTACCACCAGACATGTCATTAAGTCCTTGATATACACCAGTGGTGTAGACTCTCTGTAAAACAGATTATAGTGATGGGCGGAATCAAAATCAGTACAATATTTGTTTACCACAAGTGTGAATTACATGGTGAGATCAAAGATTAAAGAAAGATCAAAACGAAATCAAATTTAAAAGGTTGACAGTTTTCCTTCTGATCATGTTCTGTAAATTGAAGAATCTGTCAGTTTTCATGCCTGAAAAAAATTTGTCTTACTCCAAAGTTGGACAACAGCACTTTTTAAGTTTGATAAGGCTTGACTAAATTTGGTAGGAAAAAAGAACTGCGGGTACTTGTATCGTGGGGGGACTCCCATAT